TAGAGGCTCCTCTTCACAGGAGCAGTAGTCCCTGCACCCTTGCCTGGGCACATGACCTTTTGGAGGATAGGATCTGGGAATCCAGGCAGACATGGTCTCCCCTATGCTTGGAAAGGCTGAGAAAGCGGTCTCATCGTGGGCACGTTGTCTCCGCCTCCACTGCCACATGCCCTTCTAGAGATGCTCGCATCAGCAGCACATCTGTCTCCATCCTTAGATCCGGAGAGCTGCAGGCAGAGCTGCACATCAGCAGATCTAGAGGTCCAAGTCTGTAAACCAGCAAGGAAAACAGCGACTCTCAAAGCAGAACCGGCCAGATCCAGAGCAGCCGGAGAGATGAAAACCCACAGGGTTCTGAGACCCGTGTGCAGCTGGAGCAGCAGCCGGGTCCCCACTCCTGCCATCAGCCATAGATGCTCCGCATGCTCTACCCCTTACCCTGTCAGCAGACACAGGGCAACTTCGATGGAGGGTCTAACTCCCCAGGGATTGGCCCAGCCCCCTTGCTCCTCTTGGTGTCCCTCATCTGTCTGCTCTGCAGACAGCACCAGTTCTGTTCTTCCCCACAGAATCACCTCCTGATTTCAACCCAGCATCATTCCCAGACCCACAGACAGCCTCCCTTCCCCTGAGTAATAGCCTTTTGATTCTTCTGGATGTTTTCAATGTTGTGTTAGTTTAAATATTGGTTTTAATAAGTGGTTCTTGTTTGTTTTTTCATTGTAAATTGTTGTTACAGTGTTCACTCAGCATGCTTAGGTAGGGCCTAGTAGTTTTCCCATGTATATCACACTGCTTCTGGGAGAGGCTACAGGAGAAAGACCATCCAGGAGGAAGGGAGGCAAAGCCACTGCTTTGCCAGAGTCCAGGCCAATGCCGGAGTGCCATGCTAGATATACAGATAGTTGTGTCTCGCTGACCTTTGCTGGGGAGATAAAGGCCAGGTTCATGTGCTCAGAGGTCAGTCTGACCAGTTGTCCTTCCCAGGGGTTTCTGCTTTAGTTGCAGGCTCCTGTAGCTTTGTACTATTTGTTCAGCAAATTTGGATTAATTGTAATCTCATGAGATCCCTGCTTCCCATGAGCACAAGGCCAGGCCCACACTCACTGTCACCCATAGTAAGTACACAGTTTGAAGAAACGGGTGGCCATAGCTTCCAGGAGTGTTTTTTCATGCTATTGACAATGTTTGAACCATGCTGATCTTCTTGAAGTAATACTTAGCGTTTCTTCAATGTTGGGGACAGTCTATAAGCAACAGTGTCACGTGTTTATTTATAATTCCTCCAGTGTTCATGGATATGGCTTATAGCCACCCAACTGCTGTTCATCATGCTTTTGTGGCTCCCCTCATGACAACTCCGTTGATGACTACCACCAACTCTCTTACATAGTGGCCTTGGGCAGCTAAGGTGCTCATCTCCCCAGTGAGACCAACTGAGCATGCAGGACTTATACGGATCACAGATCTGCTCATTATAGCTTCCTAGGGATGAAGGAGCTCACCCATCCACCACCATGATGGTTTTCAAGGGCAAAGATCACACAAGTCTCAGTTCACTAGCGGTCAGTGTCCAGCCATCAGAGGGCCCATATCACAGCATGGGGCTTGAGCTTCAGAAGGTATTCACAGGGTGAGGGGGCACTGGTTATGCAGGAAGACTTCCGGGAGGCCCCATTTTGACTGGGCCAGAATCAGGCTTCCTGGTGAAAGATGGAGTCAGAATGAGCCAGTCCAACTCAGCAGGGGAGGCAGACAAGCCGTGACAAGACACTACCGGAAATTCAAGATGGTGAAAGTATTTGTTGAAATTTAGAGATTTACTTCTAGCCCTAGAAAGATGTAGATTAGAGGGCAAGGTCTACATTTGAGGCTGTTTCCATCCAACACCTTAGGAAGACTGAAGGTCATTGCATTCCTGAGGAGAGCCAAGACCCTGACCACACATGCTCACCTCTGTCAGTGCACAAATCATGTTATTAACATGCAGGGCCCAGAGTCTCCTGCCTAAAGACTATTCCTGCTGGACTGATGCCAGAGCAAGTAAGACCAGCAGCCCTTCTCTCCTCTCCTCTCCTCTCCTCTCCTCTCCTCTCCTCTCCTCTCCTCTCCTCTCCTCTCCTTTCCTCTCCTCCTAGGGGTGGCCACACTCACCATTAAAGGTCCCCAGGCAACAAGAATTGGCCATTTCTCCCTCAGGGAAACAGTATCCAGTCCAGTCACTTATTTATATGATCCTGTACCATGTAAGCACATATGGGCAACTTGGCCATAACTGTTCCCCTGCCAGAAACCTTAAGTGTTCTCCTTTCTTGATTGAATGAAGAAATGAATGAAATGTATGCCTTGGCAATGCTGAAGCATATATGGGCAGTCCGTATATGTCCATATTGGGTTTCATGGTCTAAGTTGATGAGGACGACTGACCAGGTCTCTTCCTCAAGAGGGCATCTGACCTCATTACAGATGGTTGTGAGCCACCATGTGGTTGCTGGGAATTGAACTCAGTACCTTTGGAAGAGCAGGCAGTCTCTTAAACGCTGAGCCATCTGACTAGAAGCAGAGGGGATTTTAGGGCACTTCTGCTTTTAAGTTCTGCTGCTGAGATTCTGCGGTCTTTACGCAGCTGCTGCTTGTTTTGGCTTTTTTTTTGAGACAGGGTTTCTCTGTAGCTTTGGAGCCTGTCCTGAAACTATCTCTTGTAGATCAGGCTGGCCTCAAACCCACAGAGATTCACCTGCTTCTGCGTCCCGAGTTCTGGGATTAAAGGTGTGCAACCCGGCAGCCTGGCCATTGCAGCTGTTTCTAATAAGGGAACACAAATATGCTTACCTTTCTGATGGTGAACACCTAGTGTCATCCTGACCATATTGGTGAAAGGAGAAAGACAAAAAAAAATGTGAGTAGTTATTTGAAAATGTTCAACTGGACGACTGAACTCTGCTCTCCTGCCGAAACCTTGAATCTGATGTGAAAGTATTTAAACCTAAAATAACCAGGATCTTAAACCTCCTATCAGTTGAATGGAAGCAGCTTTGTTGTAGCTCCAGGCATGTGATCAGAATCATCTGTTTCTATTTCTCACAGTTCACAGTTAAAACAGATCTGCCTTCTTTCATCACATCTCTGTACCTTCTGGACTCCTCCACCTGGGAATCTCTCAGTAGGACAACTATTTTCTGCTCTTAGAATTCTTCTATGTCTTAGCATTGGCTGCCGCACAATTTTCTTGGGCTATGAATATTCCACAGCCCCTTAAGAATAATAAAGCTAAATCCCGTTGCTTACTTTTAAACCATGGTATTAGCACTCAAAGGAAAACAGCAAAAGTTAGACCTGACCAGAAGTGCCAGCCACAGTTCATATTCTGAGATATCCCATAATACACTTGTTTACTATCCTTTGGGATTGGATTTGCAGTGATCCTAAACGGAAAATTCAGTGTAAACTAATAAGAAGGTAGAGGTGCCCGTGATTCACACCTGTAATCTCCTTACCTGGGAGGCATGATGTAGGGGGATTGCCTGGGTTGGAGGCCACCCTAGGCTACTGTGTTAGTCATTGTTCTCTAAAGAAACATAGCTGATGTAACGAATAGATCCATACAAGTATACAAGGGATTGGTTAGAGCAGCTTATAGGCTGTGGTCTGACTATCCCAACAATGGTTATCGCCCAATATATCCAAGAATCTAATAGCTGTTTGGTTTACAAGGCTGACTAGCCTAGCTGCTCTTCAGCATATTCTGGAATCCTGAAGAAGTAGGCACTAATACCAGTGAAGGGATGAACTGGACAGTGAGAGCGAGAGGAAGCAGGCAAAGAGCAAAGCCTCCTTCTTCCTGCCCTTTGTATAGGCTAAGGAAGGGAAGTCTTCACACCTCAAGTGACCCAATCAAGAGAAAGCATGTTCAGGAGTGCCCATACCTTTGGTTTTAGACTTTTCAGATGCAGTTCACTTGACAACCAAGAGTAGCCATGGGAGCTACACAGTGAAACTGTCTCAAAAGAGAGGAACTGAAGAAACAGTAGTTTTGTGTTGACTATGGTTTTTAGACTTTGGATCTTTGGAGAAAGTCCTTACCAGCAGCACCTGTTCTTGAACCTCAAGGTTTTGTGTTTTGTTCTTGCCTCTTTGAATCATGGAAGTTATAACGAAATATGCAGAGGCTCTTGTCCACTTTAACATATCTTTAACGTTTTATATGTATGGGTGTTTTGCCTGTATGTATATCTGTGCACCACATGCATACCTTCTTCCCACAGAAGCCAGAAGAGGGCTCAAGAACCCTGGAATTCGTGAACCACCTGGTGGGTTCTAAGAATTAAAGTTGGGATATCCAAAAGAGCAGTAAGTACTCTTAACTACTGAAACGTCTATTTAGTACCCCACCTGTATTTTTATAATGAATGTTTAGATATAAGAGAAGTACCTGGGCCAGAAAATCTTCCACACAAATGGTTCAAGACAGGGAATGACAGAAAAAAGGTAATTGCAACTTTGACCATGCCGATCTTGTAGGTGTGTCTTATTCTACCCTTATTCCTTTATAATGTTGTGTTTTATAGCTTATGTTTTTTACTCCACTCAGTGAAAACGCCACTCTTTACTTTATTCGAGAAAAGGTTTATGGAGCAGGACTGATAGGGCAAAAGTGCTAGCCAGATAATCCTATGAAGCTGAGTTCCATGGTGGATGAAGGGACTCCACACCTAAAAGTTGTCCTCTGGACTCCGCGAACACATGCTGTGACACATGCATGCATGCATACATGTACACACACACACACACATACACACAACGATAATTTCACATCTAAAAACTTGAATCTAATGTAGACTCTGTATTGTTGTGATGTATCCACCAGAGAAGACTACTCAGACACAGGTTCAGTCCTATAGAAAGTCTTTATTAGCTGGCTGACAACCACACTGGGTAGTCAGGATCCCAGTAGAGCTCACAGTCTATCTCAAGGTGAGATTTTAAGCACAAAACACATATTCTGGGTTGACATACTTCAGGTACAAGTACACTTAGCCAGATATGGAACTACAGAATCCAAATAGGAAGTAAGCACACTTAGAGACTTTTCCAGAACTATGGACTTTGTCAAATCTGTGATGCTGCAGTGGATATCTGTTCATATTGTGACCAAACAACCCCCAGGTTAATGGCTCCCAAGCATTACGTTTTATATCTAGTTATGGCATTAAAGGTGCAGGACCAATGTAATCATACAGAACAAGAGGGCTAGTGGTACTGTAACAGCTAACAGTACAGATTCCAGCCAAGAGAAACCTGATTATGAAAACGGAATCCCTGGACTGCCTCCATGCAGTCTTTCCTGCTTCTATGAGTTGTTCATGCAGAAGCCTCCATGGTCTGTATGCCGTAGGTTAAGAGTCCTACCATGTTCCAAGATGACCTCAGCTGAAGAGCCCACCTGTGTAGTGATAAGAGCAGCGGGGCTGCGTCCCCGGCACCCGGCCGCCTGCATGGCTAGCTTATGCTCGAAATAATTACACGGAAACTGTATTCTTTTAAACACTGCCTGGCCCGTTATCTATAGCCTCTTACTGGCTAGCTCTTACATATTAATCTAACCCATTTCTAATAATCTGTGTAGCCCATGAGGTGGCTTACCAGATAAGATCTTAACCTGTGTCTGTGTGGAGTGGGAGAATCATGGCGACTCCCTGACTCAGCTTCTTTCTCCCAACATCCTGTTCTGTTTACTCCGCCTACCTATGTTCTAACCAATTAAATGGGCCAAGGCAGTTTCTTTATTAGCCAGTGGCCTTCCTCCATCACACCTGATCCTCTGACTTTGCAGTAGACTTTTCCAATGCAAGTAAATCCTGGGTTTCCTGGCATCCTAAGGTCCTGGAGTTAGAGTGAGCCATGCTGGGCTGGTTACAGCAAGAGTGGCTCCAGCTGTTCCTAATCCTATAGTACTGAGAGGACTATAGGCATCTGAGGGAGTAGAAGGGTTTTCCACTTTGGATAAAGGAGGCAATATAATCAGACGTAATTACATATAACATAAGCATTAACATAAAATAGAATGAAAGCTGAGTCAGTCTTCTTTTTAGTCAACCTTTGTGATGGTCTACCTCTCTGGATTGATGGCTCCCCTGCAACTGGGCCTTCTTGTCCTTCTGCGATGCCCTTTATTAGAGAGTGATGTATCTAGGTGTGGATGTCATCTACCTTGACAGCAGTTGAGGTCATCTGCATGACCAGATAGGATCCCTTTCAGCAAAATCTTAAATCCCCACTGCTATGTCTCTTGATCCACACCCCATCTCCTGTCCAGAAGGAGTGTGGGTGAAGTATTGAACTCTGGAAGGCAGCCTTAAGTGAGGAGGACACAATCTGAGACTGCTGCAAAGCCGACACACATTGAAGCGATTGATTAACAATTTCAACAGCTAGTTCCAATCCTGCGGGTGGATGGGAGGAAACCTCCCATAAAAAAAGAGTTCAAATAAAGTCAGTCCTTTTACATGAGGAGTACAGGGATGCCTAAGGAGGACAATGGGAAGTAGCTCCACCCAACTTTCACCAATCTCTAAGCTTAATTTAGTTAAGGTCTCCTTCAGGGTGCAATTTATCCTCTTTGTCCTGCTCTTTGGGGATGAAAAATACCATGTAATTTCCAATTGATCCCCAGAATAGCAGAAATACTTTCAGTGACATTGGGTAGAAAGGCTTGCTTGTTATCTGACCCTATGGGCAAGGGCACTCCGGACCTAGACATTGGCTCACTTAAATGTTTCCTAGCTGTATTCTAAGGAGACTTGGTGGGAAATCACTCTACCCATCAGAAAATGTATCCACAAGAACAAGCGAATATGTGTATGCATATTATTCTGGCCTGACTTCTGTAAATCTACTACCTAGAATCTGCCTGCTCTTGAATGTCATCTAACCCCTGGAGGTGGCACCATTCCTGAGGAAGCATTTGTTTGTTGACAGGCTTGTCATCTGGAAACAACTTCTCCTATCATCTGGTCCATTTTTTTTTTCAATCTGGTCCATTCTTAAAAATGAATCTTTTCCTCATAAGCAGAGGAGTAGAGAGAAAAGCAAAAAGACAATCAAGCCCTGGCCCCAAGATCTGGCTTGAACTACCTTGGGAGGTCTCCAGGCTGTTTTCTCCTCCCCTTGGGGTGGATGTGGGATTGTAACAATGCTGCACACCACTCTTGAGACCCACAAAGGGATCGCACCTAGCCAGTGTCCATTAGTCTCAAGGGATTAAGTCCTGGGACATTTTTAAATGTGTGACCTTAATATTGATCAGCAATAGCAGAATCCGTTTAGATTATCGGGGTAATTTTACAATAAATTACAAAATATGTACATGACGTAAACTATGTAATACAGAGATGTAGACTGTGAAAATGATGATCCTTCATTGGCTTCCCTGAGAAGTCACCTCTATTACAGAATCCCTAAGACACATGAATTTACAGCTCAGTCCTATGCACACAGGCAACAAAAAGAAGCTCATACCTTCTAATATTATCTCTTATAATAGAATCTTCACCTTGAGGGATTTGCACGTCTTTCCTAGACAGTGAGAAGGACTGAATAATCACAAACCTTCCATGCTCTAAGTGAGTTCAAACACTGATCACAGGCTAAAGAAGTCATCAAGGATATACTGAAAGTTCAACATCAAGCAGCTTCACAGATGAAAAACCAGAACTTCAATGAACCCAGGAAAGATGCAATTTGGGACTTTATAAAGGACCAACAGAATCGCATATGCTAGACCTGTAGTTTCAGCCAAGCCACTCCTGAATTTCCTATTCGTGGACAATCTTTTGCCCTTCTTTCTGGTAAATACCCCTCAATGTGAGGTGCATAAAAATGTGTGATTGTGTGTGTGTACATGTGAGAGAGTGTGTACAAGTGAAAGTGCAAGTTCGTTCTCTTCAGTAGCTTTGGCTTTCCTCCACTAGGGTGTAAATCCTGTATCTTGTGTATGTAAGGAATATTGTATCACTAAGTAACACCCCAGTACTAAAGTTGGACACATTTTTGAGCTAATGATGATAGAACAGGCAGAGAGCCTATTCCTGACCAATGGGAAGCCAAGCACTTCTTCAACCTGCCGCCTGCACAGGCAACTTGGTACCATGTCTCCAGAACTTCCTAGGACATGGAGAAAGAGAAGAGGCCAGGAGGAGGGAGGAACTGATGAAAAGTCTAAGGAGCCAGCTGAGCCTCCAAAGAGGGTAAATAAAAGACCACAGTGAAATAGAGCTTGATTGATCAGAACCTGGATATGATGACATATCGCATCACCTGGAACATGAGCCATCACATCAAAAAACCCAACACTGTGACAAGGGCCCGCAAGAAGAGGGTGTGGCTGAGGTGAAGTTTGTGGGTGGTGGCAAGGGCCACAAGCATTCTTATGGCAAAATGGAGGAAGATGTGCAGAAATACCATGACACAGAGTGCAGAAATTTAGACCATCTTCAGCACAGTGACCATGTGCACACTGGCCCTCTGAGCACTGATAGGAGACTCACAGACCCCTTGAAGAAGGTCAAGTGTTGCCCTGAAGAGCACATTCGTGAAGGGGAAACCATTTCCTTCCAGCCCCATCAGTCTATCTCTCCTGTCGTAAAACATCCCTCACCAGTCACTAATGAAAAGGGCTGTTCATCAGAGTCACAGTGTGAAACCCTGAAGAGAGTGGGAAAGACCCTCAAAAATGAGAGGAGACACCACCACCACTCTGACGCTCTGGGAGGAGCTCAGGTTGAAATCTGTAAAATTACTATCACCAGGGGCATCATCAGCAAAACCAGGTTAATGCCCAAGGCCAAGGGGGAGCCTTTGGGGGAGCAGGAGATGGGCAGAGACCAAGATCAGTTCCCTGAGGTGACAACTGATGTGGAGAGAGAAATCGCCAGTGCGCTAGGCCCAGGGCCACAAGACGAAATCTTAAGTAGTTCATTCAAGCTGAACGTTACTCGAGGAGACATGCAGACTCTTCAGAAAGGCCAGCGGCTCGGCTCAATGATGAAATTATTAATTTTTACATGAGTCTTCTCATGAAAAGAAGCAAATCTCCAGGGTTTCCAGCACTTCACACCTTTGGTACGTTTTTTTTGGTTTTTTGTTGTTGTTGTTGTTTTTTTTTTAAACACCAAACTGAAGGGTGGAGGATACAGGCAGTAAAACGGTGGACACAAACTGTGAACATCTTGAAAAGAACATTGTCCTCGTGCCGGTACATCTGGGTGTCCACTGGACCTTGGCGGTTGTAGACTTACGAAAGAAGACCATTGGTCTACTGGGACCCGATGGGACAGAAGAGACCAGACATCCTGGCAATGATTTTCCAATACCTGCAGGATGAGAGCAAAGTGAGAAGGGATATAGATCTGAACCCTATGGAATGGAAGCAACACACCATGACAGCAGAGGAGATCCCTCTGCAGCTGAACCAGAGCAATTATGGCGTGTCTACCTGTAAATATGCAGATTATATTTCGAGAGAGCAACCCATAACCTTCTCCCAGCAGCATGTGCCTCTGTTTAAGAAGCAGATGGTATGATTTTTTCATGTCTGGGCAACCAAGAACAAACAATGATGTCTCAAATGAAATTGGTTTTAAGTGAATCAGAAGCAATTTGACAATAAGTGAAATGCTCATTTATAAACTAATTTTTAAAGGAAAAAAATTATAAACAGTGAGACTAGGTGTTGTGGTTGTACATGCTATATCCCCAAATCTAGGGAGGTAGAGACATGAAGATTCAGATTTCACTCCACGTTTGCACAGAGAAAGTTCAAGGCCAGCCTCAGCTGCAGGGTGAGGTCCTTTCTCAAATACTATGGAATTAACAGGGTGACTTGATTGACGTCATAAGAAAGCTTTAACCCAAGGTGAACTCAGGGAGTGGTCTGTGGTTTTATTTCCAATGTAGCATTAATAAGTAGAAATAAAGAAAATCTAAAACAAAGTCGCAAACATTACCACCAAGTCTCAGAAAAAAAAATCATTTTTCGAGTTAATACTTTTTATATGAATGAAATAATAACCGAGAATAAAGTCTACCATATGAGCAGCTTAGGGGGGCAGAGAGAGGGCACATTGGTTAAGAGCACTCGTTGTTCTTGCAGAAGACCTGGGATTGTTTTCCTCCAGCACCCACTTGGCCCCATCTGTAACTCAAGTTCCTGAAGATCCGGCGACCTCTCCTGGCAGCTTTAGGTACTGCAAGGCCAGAGAGCTAACACCAATGCCTGTGCTTAATTAAACACTGTGCCCTGCCCATGAGATGTCACACAGAGATTGTCAATAAATTAGAAATTAACTCTGGATCCAGAAATAGCAATGTCTGTCATCACATGATCATCGATCGAAACTAACAGACAAGAAACGGTATTTTTTTTATTATTTATTTATAAACTAGGCAGCCTGAACAACATTAGACGCATTAGGTATAAAGTCGCATGTGATGCTGCACACCTGTAATCTCAGTACCAGGGAGGTGAAGGAAGGAGGGTCAGGAGTTGAAAGTAATCCTTATGTATAGAAAGTTCCAGACCTGCCTGTCTCCAAGAAGACCAACAGGAGGAGGAAGAAAAGAAGGGGAAAAGATCAAAAAATAAAAAATAAAAAGGTCTGATAAGATCATCTCTGAATCCACCATGGGGGCTGAAGCAGTGTCCTGGTTAACCCAGGCTGCAATTATTTTCACAAAAATTGCAAGCAAAATGTGTGTACACATTCACAACACTGTTTTTCTTGGTAGTAAAGGTCACCATGTGAAGCTGCTCTCTGAGCACAGTGGTCCCTTGGAAATGATCTTGACAAGAAGGAAAAAAATAAAAAAAAAAAAACAAGTAGAGATAATTTGATGACTTCAGGTTTTTATTCTTTTTCGTTCGACTGAGTCCGTCATGGAGTGAAATCTCAGTGAGTGAGCATTCTTTCCCCCATCCACTTGATGAGGAACCTGCAAACACCATCACTCACCAAAGGAGATGGACCCTTTATCAAAGGAGATGTTAGAGTTAATTACACAATTATATATCTGTCACGAGGCCTCCATATACATCATATAAATGACCAGGTTGGTCAAAAATAAATGTTTGATGTCCCTATCAACTGTAAACTTTTTCTCCTGATGGAAACAGTAGTCCTTTTCCATGCCAGAATACATGGAAACAGTTAAGCTGATTCCATGACCATGGTAAGAATATAAACATTTTGACTACACTCCTAAGCCAGTGACATGACATGGACTCATATCATCTCCAACTGGTATTCCCTTACATTCCATCTGGTATTGAAATATCTCAGGTAGCAGAGTGGCCATGGGATTTCTGATCCTTCCTGTACATATCCCATGGAGAGGAGAGTGGGGATTAGGATGGTGCTCACTTCCTAGGAGAGATGTAAACAATCGCTGTCCATTCTGAACAACGAAAGTGTGTTTAAACCAATATGTCTCATGAATGTCACCACATGAACTGCATGCCTTACTGCTGCTTCAGAGATAAGAACCAACACCCCAGAGACAAACAAGAATCCATACAACATAAATCATGCATCTAAACGCAGTTAAGGCCGCACACGTGAAATCACACATCATAACCAGAGATTGATGAAAGACCCAGGGAGTTTTGTTCTTAAAAACCTTTATTTTTTTATTTATTAACGATTTCTGTCTCTTCCTCACCACCGCCTCCCCTTTCCCTCCCCCTCCCCCAACCAAGTCCCCCTCCCTCGTCAGCCCAAAAAGCAATCAGGGTTCCCTGCCCTGTGGGAAGTCCAAGGACCACCCACCTCCATCCAGGTCTAGTAAGGTGAGCATCCAAGCTGCCTAGGCTCCCACAAAGCCAATAGGTGCAGTGGGATCAAAAACCCATTGCCATTGTTCTTGAGGTCTCAGTAGTCCTCATTGTCCGCTATGTTCAGCGAGACCGGTTTTAACCCAGGCTTTTTCAGACCCAGGCCAGCTGGCCTTGGTGAGTTCCCGATAGAACATCTCCATTGTCTCGGTGTATGGGTGCACCCCTCGCGGTCCTGAGTTCCTTGCTCGTGCTCTCTCTCCTTCTGCTCCTGATTTGGACCTTGAGATTTCAGTCCGGTGCTCCAACGTGGGTCTCTGTCTCTGTCTCCTTTCATCGCC